CCCCAAAACCCCAAAACCCCAAAACCCCAAAACCCCAAAACCCCTTTTTATGAATAAAAGATTGATAAACAAGGAATTTTGGGATATAATAATTTAAGTTATAACGACTCACAAAAGAATGAACGAACAAGCGATGAACCCTCTCAACCAGATTGCTGAGCTTTTGAATAGCACAAACCTACTTTCTCCAACAAAATCATCAAATTTTGGAAAGCAAGAAGGGATTGGAAATGCTATATACGACTGTTCCCCATATGTTCTCCTCTATCAGCAGATGCAGCTCGAGCAGAATTTTTATGAAGGGATTGCTAAGCAGTATTGCTTATGTGATATTGTCTCCTTCCCCCAAGCTGGAGCTCCTCAGAAATTGAAGACCAACGAAAGCGATTGCCCAAAGTCAAGGTAATTTGAAAAGATTCCTCTTATACTATGTTTACATACCTATATAAACTAGCTACTTTTCTTCATAGCTTACATAGGCATAGTGCTTTGAAGCTGATTTGACCCCTCCTATTTTGAATTGAAATCGCCTTTTCCTACCATTTACTAAATTATTAGTCGCTAAACTTCTTGTAAGCACAAATATTTCATTGAATTCTACATCGCAAATACGTAGAAGAAGATCGGTATCCATCTTATATGCCAATCCAGGAGAAATCTCTGAAAATTGTCAAAATAGAGGGCTGCTAACCCAACTTAGCCCTCATGTTGGCTTAAGTTGTATTTATGGTAGCAACCCTCATCTTTCTTCTCAAAAAGTTCGAATTAATAATAAAGAAGTGGGTTTTATAACAAATATTTACATAGATCTTTGCAGCCTTTTCTACAGCAAAGGGACCGATGGGCTCCTTTGCTATGCCAATTTCTGGAATATTTCTGTCATAATTTTGGATTTTCCCCTCCGTATCTTTTGAGATGCTTTATTTTTAGGCAACCTTGAAAGCTACCTATTTGTTAAATATATAACTGTTTATAATTATTCCTGCATGAGCCAATTTAGAAAGAGTTTATAGAGAGCTCTAAGTAGTCTAAGGCTTCACGTTCTCACCATAATTTGTTATTAAAATTTTGAAAAATTTTGACTCTTTTTTATGGAAGCCTGGTGACTCAATAAATTTCAGGTCAACTGAAGGGTCAAATAATAGATTTCTCGTAGGCTACCACTCAACAATTTTCTTCGGCTAAATTTCTAGCAGTCCTTAGTGTTTAAAGCCAGACCCTCAACCTGAGCAGTTAGGGTCATAATTAATGAATTTATTGGGAAATTAATAATACCTCTAATTGGTTTTCTGCCAAATTCCGAGCATGATTTTAGCAAGCTCTACAAGTACCAAGCCAAGAGTGGATCCTTACCACAATGTGTAAGGAGCTTCAGAGAATTCTTAGGTTTCTTCCCTTATGTTTCGTACTTTCGGATTAGAATAATAAATTGGTTTTCCCAATCCTGAGAGGGCAAAATCTTACGCATTTCTTAAAATATGTGTATAAACTTTGCACAAATTTTTACTCAAGAGTGTTTAGATTAATGACACATTTTATTGAAGTTTGAAACGTCGATTCAAAATCCGGAAAGCTTTCTTAGTGAATTTGAAAAAGTCATAAAATTTAGCTATATTTAATAATATCATTTTTCAGCTAGAAAGTCCACTGTTGAATTTGGACTACAGGGTTTTCCAACATTCCTCTCAGTGCGATATATGACATAGAGGATCAGATTTTTAGATCCTCTGACCTCCTCAGAATTTAGCTCTTCTTCAGAATTTGAATATCGTACCAATGCCATCTTTAACTCACAACAAGTTAGAAAATTCTTGAAAATGGTCCTATCCCTATTGATAAGAGATTTAATACTCTTTTCGCTACGTAAGAGCCTTCATGGGATCATTATGGTATCCATCTAGCATTCTTTCAGCAAACAAATATCTGCTTAAAAAGTGTCCTGAAAAATATGAAACAGATTTACTTTTTATTATAAATTTCCTCTGTTTGAGTCATCTAGGTCTGTTTAGAAAGAATTATTAAGTTTACAAACCTGGAATCGTCATGGGGCACTCAACCGAGTGCCCCATCGAGTTTTAATAAAGTTCATAAAATTCTTCCTCTGCCATATTTTTGATGTTAGTTTATTTTATGAAACGAAAGCAGTTGGCTCATGGCCAAATATGAAGAATCTTTGTAAAAGATATTAGAAATAAATTAATTGATTTTTACTTTTTGTAATCAAGATACTCACACAGAGATACAGTCGAGTTATACCTCTGAACAATGTAGCTCGGCTTTAGAATTGCCAATATTTTATGAAAAACTCTTTCTTTTCACTTTGTAATTCAGCTGAATCTTAGCAACGAAAATTCAACTCAGACTTCGTTCAAAAGAAGTCACACTCCACCAGACCTCTAAGGCGATTATTTTCTTGCTTTCCCCGCCTAAAAAGAATCATTTTTGGCTATTTTCATTATAAATGGGCGCCTAAGACTAACTTTGTCTTTATAGAGACTCTAATCAGCAATATGTGACTGAAATCATTGAGAGCAAAAAGTTAGAAATCAAAGAAGCAATTAAGAACATGCCCTTGGAAAAGATTTTAATCAAAGCTAACCCAAAGAAGAAACATAGCGGCCCAAGAAGTTCTAAGTTCAGAGGAGTTTCGCTAAATGGTAAAAAGTGGCAGACCCTAGTTATGGGTCCGAACAAGAATGCATACAGAGGTAGACATGTCAGAGAGCAAGATGCTGCTAAAGATTATGACAGACACTCAATCCTTAGACAAGGTCTTTGTGTAAGATTGGCTTATTTTATTCTCCTTGAATGCTAATTATGGAATATTTGGTACTCTTCCTGCAAATTTCTAACCTTACTTACAGGCGAAGACGAACTTCAACTACACCGTCAAAGAGTTACTCCAGATAGTCTCAATTGAGAACTATTTCTAGTCCGATTGCTGGCCATTAGCCTATTGAATAATTTAGACATAACACACTCGGTGAATCGTTTTTAGAATTTTCTATTGCTCTTCTATAACCAGGGGTTTTGGGGTTTTGGGGTTTTGGGGTTTTGGGG